TTCAAAAATTCGATATTGGACCCGGGGGGTCAGATCCAAAATCGGGCCCCAGGGCGGGTTTTCCTCTTTCCTTCATAACTTTGTCATTTGCCACAGGAATCAAGTAATTTTTTGTAGGTGCTCTTACAATCACCCAGTGAACATTCTAGAATCGAAAAACCGTCACTTTATGGAATTTTGTCTTGGCATGCTAAAACGCGCTCCAGGTGGGTTTCTGTAGAAAACAGAAAATCGCCGTTTTCTCGTTCTTTTCACCATAGAAACGTTTCGATCTTTTGAGAAAACAAATAATAGTAGTTTTTAGTCCGATGCGTCGAAATATTTAGAAATTTACGTGGCTAAATTCAAAAATAAGTTTTTTGCATATTTTGGGAAGGTGTCTGGCTAGAACTTCGCGAAATTTAGCCCATAGGTGACCCTTACTAGTGTTTACCAATGATAAAATTTTGAGCAAGATCGCAGCTTTGAGTCAAGAGAAAAACGAGAAAAACAAAAACTACAGTATCCCTCTGGGGCACGTTTTAGCAAGCAATATTAAAATACCATAGAATCAGGTAAAATTTGACGTTATGCTAAAGATTATCATTCGGAGATACCATCTGCAAAAGATCAGCCATGGGCAGCGTATTTGAAGCGAGTTGCGAATTAAAAAGTAAAGATAGGCAAAACAGTGATATTTGTTTTCCTTGTTAGAAAAGAAGTAGAGCTTGAAAAATTATAAGATTTGGCCATTAGCTTTCTACAAGTGTCAGCAATTTTTAGGCCAAAAATCAAAATTTTCCCACCACCCGTTCAAGAACGCACAATTTTCGGTCGTAATCAGCGTCAATAGTACAGTTGCGTACCCAAAAATCGAAAAAATCAAGTTGGTCTTAATCTCGGTACACATAGGATAACGGGGGGGGAATAAAATAACGGGGGGGCACTCATTATTATGAAATTTGCAATTACTGAGGGATTTTGCAAGTGCCATTCGATAGAGCGTCGAAAAATATACTAAGAGAATTAATTTCAGCCTGAAATAATGTAATAGAAATTTTTTATTGAATAAACAAAAATTGAGGAAAATCTATGGGCAGCACATAGGATAACGGGGGGGAAAGTCAAATTTTCGAAATTTTCGACATTTTCGGTATTTTGAAAACGTCATTCGATAAAACGTCGAAAACTGCCCTAGGAAAATTAATTTCAGCCCAAAATAATGTAAAGGAAATTTTTTATCGAATAAACAAAAATTGATCAAAATCCATGGGCAGCACATAGGATAACGGGGGGGAAAGCCAAATTTTTGAGATTTTCGATATTTTGAAAACGCGAATCGATAGAACATCAAAAAATATACTAAGAGATTTTTTACAACGCGAAAAAATGTATTATAAAAGTTTTATAGCCTAAAAACTATTTTTGAAAACTATGGGCAGCACATAGGATAACAGGGGGGGAAAAAAATTTTCGGCGTTTTGAATATTTTCGAAATTTTGAAAATGCCATTCGATAGAGGACCGAAAAATATACTAAGAGTTTTTTTTACAGCCCGAAAAAAGCTTATTTAAAAATACTTTTATCATATAAAAAGTTTGAGTGCCCCCCCGTTATTTTTTTCCCCCCCCGTTATCCTATGTGTACCTTAATCTCTATTCCTGACATATTTAAGCATTTTGGCATGGTAACGCATGGTGAAATAACTTTCCTTCTCGAGTTATTCGGGGACAAACTCCGGAACAATTTTCTGACCCACCCTGTAGCTGATTTGCGTCTAAATTCGGATGCTAATATGCAAATTTGCAATAAAAATTTTATGTGCGTTCGGGCTATTAGGACATCGGTATCGGTAAAATTCATTGAACTTGGTTAATAATTCGTTCCAACTATCAAAAAGTACTAAAATACAGGTCTGAACCCGTTATGATCTGGCTGCAATCGACATGGAGATGTATGGCACTAGGGTTGGGTTTTGGCGCAACCGGTTTCCGATCGATCGCTTTGCATATCCTAAACGATTAAATCGTTGGACGAAAACCGGTTTCCGGCATCGAACCGATTTAAATCGGTTCACGAGGCAAAACCGGTTTTTGTCAGGCTCGGAAATCGGTTCGCGGTAAAAAAACCGGTTTTTCACGATTCGGTCCCGGAAGTGAAACCGGTCTTGATGCAAATCCCCAGCACACTTATTATTCAAATTGCGGTAATGTAAAGCCTCAAATTTCATGAATTTTTAGGAATCGAATTCTGTCTTAGCTTGTTAGCAATGTATGGTCTCAGAGACAAAAGATTAGAACGTCATATTAAACGCTGGTGCTAGCCTGGAGCGCTTCAAAATGATCGAGTACAATCTAAGGCTAACAGTAACAGTCGGGTCCGCGCGTGAAGGCGGGAAAATACCTTGCCGATCTAGAACTGTGACCGAAAAGACAATCGTAAAAGACTGGTAAAGCCCGAACAATGAAGTAGCAATCACGCTGTCTGATTTGATTAGAATTAATATTATTTGCATAAAGACCGGTTTCACTTCCGGGACCGAATCGTGAAAAACCGGTTTTTTTACCCCGAACCGATTTCCGAGCCTGGCAAAAACCGGTTTTGCCTCGTGAACCGATTTAAATCGTTTCGATGCCGGAAACCGGTTTTCGTCCAACGCTTTAATCGTTTAGGATATGCAAAGCGATCGATCGGAAACCGGTTGCGCCAAAACCCAATTCTATATGGCACCCTTTGAAAAAAATCATTTTTTCCAATTGGCATGAATATTTTGACTGAAGGTGATTTATTACAACCGGGATTTCTGATTAGCGTGCGGCCTTGCGGCCCCGGGCTCGGCCCCCATTTTGGCTTATGCCGGGGGCCGTCGAGCAAAGCCGAGCCCCGGCCCCGCCGGAAGTGGGGCCGAGCCCCGTCGGCCCGGCCGCATGCAAATTTTTGGGGCCGAAAAAGCCCGGGGGCCGGGCCCGTTGCCATGTCTGGTACAGGGTGTCCCAAACCCCCCCCTCGGCATTTGGCCGTCTTCCATCCAATCGGGACCAAATTTTTACCAGTGATGGGGACCCATAAAAACTATGTGCAGCCAAATTTTCTAAGCAAAATATTGTAATTTGCTATTGGGGCACCCTGTATATGATCCCTGTTGTCCGAACGATGAAAGTGTTCTTTGGCTACTACAGGGTGTCCCAAAAAAAGAGACACCGGCCGCATTTCTCTATTTCGGGTCCGATCAACTTGAAATTTTGCATGGAGGTAGTGAAGCCAATTTCCCATGAACACAGAAAATTTCAGCCCTATCGGTTAGCGGATTTTAAAGTTATAACGAAAATACTTTTGCATCAAAAATGCACTACAATTTGCAATTTGCATCAAAAATGCGCGTAATTTTGTCATTTACGAGCTGATTTTGCATAATTTTTGTCGAAAAAAGCCATTTGCTGTTTCGCGCTTTCTAAGAACGATTGCGCATGAGAAACAAAATACCGTGAAAACAACAGTTTTTCGAGCACTCAAACACATTTTATTGAAGTTTTGGTCAGTTGGCCCTGCCTTGGACTCGATCCAGCATTCGACCAGCGCCAAATTAATGCTTAAATTCAAATCGAGGCTTTAAATCTATGCGTAACCCGAAAAAATAAATTAAAAAACCGGTGAACGTATGCTACAATACTGGTTTCCTATATCTGACGGTTTTGTGGATCATTTTTACTTCCCATGCGCAATCGTTCTTACGAAGCGCAAAACAGCAAATGGCCTTTTTCGGCAAAAATTATGCAAAATCAGCTCGTAAATGACAAAATTACGCACAATTTTGATGCAAATTGCAGAAGTCCCCATATTAAATAAAAAATAAAAAGTCCTTTCGTTATAACTTTAAAATCCGCTAACCGATAGGGCTGAAACTTTCTGTGTTCATGGGAAATTGGCTTCACTACCTCCATGCAAAATTTCAAGTTGATCGGACCCGAAATAGAGAAATGCGGCCGGTGTCTCTTTTTTTGGGACACCCTGTATAATTTCTGTATCCATTATCCCGGCATCCATACAAAAAACACAAAACCGCCCTCTTTGCTTGCGAACCTGAGCCTCATGAAGAGCAATCCATGCGTTCTTTGGCACTTCCTTGTCATAATAATATTTCTGGTAGCATTTCTTACAAGCGATGAAACGATGCATCTAGGTAGACCTTTTGCACAGTATTTATCAAGCCTACGTTGTCACGAAACATTTCCGGGTGCGCTTCAGCCAAGTCTATCTTTGTGTCATTTGTAAATTTCCGCTTATTCAGGAACATAACATCGACTGGATGGTTTTTAATTTGACATCGTGTACAGGCGTACTTTCTTTGACTCCACAAAATCTAAATGTTAGTTTGAGTTTGGTTCTCATTCATAATCTTTGATAAGTTTTATAAGCAAGTGTTTCATAAATAAAGACACGGCCTAGAATTATGAGCGCGATTTTCACCGGCCCTTCGAGTTTTCCCCCGCGTCACCGGTTTTCGGCTGATCTCCACAGGCCATCCCAATAAAAGAAAAACTCTGATGAAGAACTTATTTTAACGAATTTTTGTTTAAAAATCAAAGGTCTGATGGTATTGGGATCACTGCTTTTACTATCTACGTTCCAACAGAGCCCAATTCCCCTTGTCGAGTCAAAAAATTTGGAAAATTTCAGACAAATATTACGGATTTTTTCAATACGCGGCGTGTAAAATCGTTAAATAAAGGAAGTTGGCTAGGAAAAAAATGTCATGGCCGCCGAATCTGTTTCCCGATCTCGATGCCAAAAATCAGCTGGAGCTTTAGCTTGGCGACCGAGCAGGGCCTGTACAAGAAACGGACATGCTTTTCTCGCTCATAGGATAGAATGGGACAAGATTTTGGGGCAGGTTCAGACTACTGGGGAAGCGCCCCGCCCCTCCAGGACAACATGGAAGAACACAGTTTGTTTTCGATTTTGCTGATTGCCAAGCTGTCAGATGGAAATCTTGTAGCCAGGACGATTTCCACGAAAAATTAATGGTAAAATGCCGGTACCTCATCCTCTTCCTTTGTGAGGTTTGCTTTCATGTTATTCATGGCTGGAACTAAATACAAAGAAAAGTTTTTGTATAATACGACAGGAAAAACCTGGTTGGACAGCAGCAACACTCTGCAGTTTTGGTGCTGAATCAGCATTTTTAGGCAAATCCTTCAAACTGACCAGCGCGAACAGCAACCGGATAAGGAACAAAAAAATCGGTGGCGGAGGCCGCAGTCCTCAATTCAGGAGCTATAGAAATTTGAACATTCGTTGGAAAACGCGAAAACTAACCAGCTTGAGCAGCGACAGTCTTCAAATGAGGAGCTAAATTGAAATGTCACAGATAGTCATTGCTCAAAGCCGGACCTGTTTGTACAGCTATTTCTGTCGATGGTCTGGCGCACTCCTTGAAATCTATCCCAATCTCTGTAGCCACAGTCGTGAGCCCTGGCACTAAACGTTCTACTTGCGTATATCCTGCAAACCAAACTGTCTTGAATGGAAATTTCTGATGTGAGTCCCACTTCATCCCCGGCGAATAGATACTGAAAGCTCCGATGGGGATCGGATAATCATTCCTAGACCTGAAGCCCGAGTCTAGCTCTGACAATTTGCCGTCGAATATGTTGCAGATAATTGTGATATTTGAGACAAAAATTGTGATGTTGCTTGACAGCTTTCACATACCCAGCACGATTTCTCGTCTCTTTTATTTTTTGCATTAACTTCTGCTCTTTCTAGAATCATGACCACGAAAAATGACTGAAAGAAGGCAGCAACCAACCCCCGCCATATCTGCAATCTGCTCTCCAAAGGTATTTTTCAGTAGCGTAGAAAGCGGTGTAATGATTGTATTGGCCCATTTTTGTATAGCATTTAAATGAACGAGTGCCTAGTAGAGCAATGTCGATTAACAAGAACTTTTTGTCTATAAACAGAAACCTGTGCCTTCTCCAATAGCATCCAGTTTGTTATTGGCTCATTGTTAGAATCCTGTTGGTTCTGTCCACATTTGATACAAACAATAAACCGAGGCATCTAGTTATTTATTTCAGGTAGTTTTTATAACACTCACATTGTGACGCAACACTTCCAACTCCACTTCGGCCAATTTCGTCTTCGTTTCCTTTTCGAATTCTAGTAGTTTCAAGAACATCTGGTCAACTGTATGACCTTTGCTCTTGCATTGTGCACAATTGTACTTTTCAGCATACCAGGCCGTCTAAAACAGTGACCGTATGATCTCCACTCGGCTGGAAACGGCACTTTGACTTTACTAATGAGACGACATTACTAAAGTATTTCCTACTACGTATTACAAGCGGGTAAGGTCAAAATGCCGTTTCCAGCTGATTCTTTGGCCTGCGGCGCCAGAGCCATAGCTACGCGATAAGCTTTGAGCTTGCGGCGCCAGCTTCTGATTTCACTCGCCCCCCATAATGCGACGCATATAATTATTTGTACTTATTATACCTTTTCTTCTATTGTCAGCTCTTCCCAACTCGCGCGTGCACCAATGACCGACAATGGTGCTGTACTTTCCGAGGGTGCTGCGCAAACGCTCGGCTCTTTGCAGAATTTTTGATAAAATGATTCCTGTGAAATTTGTTGTGGAGGGTTTTGAATAAATTAAAAACCATTTTTAGAACATTGGCATCTTCTAGTGCTTTTGAGGCACTTATCCTTTTCTTTGGAACAAGGCGAAGACATCTGATTGCAAGGACTCATCATCAAAATGCATAATTAACAAACCTTTCGATGAGATCAGCAATAGGACATCGGCATTCTGCTCTTTCTAAACGATTCCCGAGACAAATTCTCGACTTGAGTTCCCATTGGTCTTCGGTCTCATGGAAAACGTTTCTGAAAGGTTTCTTTAAAGGGCAGGTTAAGCCTCGGGAGCTTGCGCTGGTCCCTTCTAAAATTACCAGCCGCCTTCGAGCGTTTTTTGAATTTCCAGTTCGTACACTTCCCCTTCCCTTGTTAACCGGAAGAAACGAGCTAACACGTCTTTGCGCGCATTCGGCTCCCATCAGTGCTTCGAAACACTTGGCACACAACTTTTCCAAATTTTACAAAGTGCCAGGAAACTGTGTAATACGTGAATTTCTGCTGACCCGACCCCTTTCAACATTGTTCTAAAATATTCTTAATTCTTACCGTCTTTCGACACATTCCCATAAAACAAGTCCAGCAGAATAGAGGTCACTAGCGTAAGTATACTGAAAGCATTGGCAATATCTAAATTATACTCACGCATTGTTTATTGTTATCGCCGCCGCCAAATGCTTCAGGAGCCATATATCGCACAGTTCCCTTAACGCCGTGACTAGACTTCGGTTAGAGATTTCGTTCAAAGAGTTTTACCTGGAATGTTCTGTGTGTTCCGATTTGGACAGCCCAAAGTCACAGAGCTTTAGTTCATATTGTTGGTCAAGAAGTATACTATAGCAATTTTTTGGGGGCTTCTTCCAAAGAAACCAACTTTTGTGGCTTGATATCACGATGGAAAATCTTTTCTGCTTTTAGGTAAATCAATGCCTCAAATATTTGGCATGCCCAATCAACCACAAGAGAAATTGAATAGCGTTGTTTTGGGTTGGTTATGACTAAAAAAGCAATCAATTCCAAACAACCATAATACCCACATTTCTTCAAATCCCCTCGTTCGTAATATTCAGTCACAATATTCACTGTCTGGCTTTCATCGCTTTCGTAGTATTCGATATATTTTACAATATATTTATGTGATAGCATTTTGAGGTTTGCGACTTCACGGCAGAGGTCGGTAGTATTTGCTGGAGATTTCATCCGCTTGACGGCCACAAATCTGCAACAAAAAGCAAAATGAAACCGATGATCCTGATTCTGTCCATAAGCAGAGCACTTTCAGGGGATGAAGGTAGGACCTCTATGAATATGCGAAGAGGAGGAAAGACAAAGAAGTCTCGAGAACACCTAAAAATAAACATACGTTCCGTCTCTGGTTACGCGATATACACGGCCATAACCGCCTGAACCAAGGAGAATGTCATCACCAGCTGAACCGAGATTGTTTTGTGCGAATTCGAGCGATGCAGGTAAGCCAACAGCAAATGAATTGTCGTTTCCATCAGATGCTGACATCTGTCTGAAAAACAATACAGGGTGTATCAAAAAAAGTGCCCAAGTTTGTCCCCAATTATCTCGAGAAGGAAAGATATTTCACCGTGCGTTACCATGCCAGAATGCTTAAATATGTCAGGAATAGAGATTAAGACCAACTTGATTTTTTCGATTTTTGAGTACGCAACTGTACTATTGACGGTGGTTACGACCGAAAATTGTGCGTTCTTGAACGGGTGGTGGGAAAATTCTGATTTTTGGCCCAAAAATCGTTGGCATTTGTAAAAAGGTAATGGCCAATTCTTAGAATTTTTCTAGCTCAGGTTTTTGTTTTACAAGCAAAACAAATTTCCCTATTTTGCTTATTTTTTACTTTTTAATTCGTAACTCGCTTCAAATACGCTGCCCATGGCTGATCTTTTGCAGATGGTGTCTCCGAATGATAATCTTTAGCGCAACACCAAATTTTACCTGATTCTATGGTATTTTAATATTGCTTGCTAAAACGTGCCCCAGAGGGGTACTGTAGTTTTCGTTTTCCGCGTTTTTCTTTTTATTGTCAGCTGCGATTTCGCTGAAAATTTTATCATTGGTAAACACCAGTAAGGGTCACCTATGGGCTAAATATCGCGAAGTTCTAACCATACACCTTCCCAAAATATGCAAAAAACCTGTTTTCGAATTTAGCCACGGAAATTTCTAAATATTTCGATGCATCGGACTAAAAACTTCTATTATTTGTTTTCCTGAAAGATCGAAACGTTTCTATGGTGAAAAGAACGAGAAAACGGCGATTTTCTGTTTTCTACAGTAACCCGCCTGGAGCGCGTTTTAGCATGCCAAGACAAAATTCCATAAAGTGACGGTTTTCGATTCTAGACTGTTCTCTGGGTGATTGTAAGAGCACCTACAAAAAATTATTTGATTCCTGTGGCAAATGACAAAGTTATCAGGGAAAGAGGAAAACCCCCCCTCGGGCCCCGATTTTGGACCCAACGCCCTGCCTGGAAAATCGAATTTTTGAAAATGAAAAAGGCACCGGGGTTTGGTGGATACAATTAAAGCACGCATCGAACTGTGTATGAGAGCAGAATCCTGGAATGATCTGGCTGAAGTTAATGGTTGATTTTGATTTAAAACCCGAAAATAACGTTTTTGAAAAGTCGACTTTGAAGCGCTCTTCTAAAATCGTTTGCCATAGAAAAGTTTTTTCTTTGCATGGTTTGTAATTGAATACCCAAGCTTGGTCTATGCTAAAAATTTCACGGCTACTAGCGCATCGAGCATTTTTTTACATAGCCTCGAATTCGGGTATATTTGGGCTTTTCAAGAATTTCTTTCGAGATAGCGTATGGCTGAATAAATTCGTAAATATACTATTTGAATGCGCCAACCAGATATTATCAAACAAAAATGTGGCGAGAATTTTGGCGGCACAATTCAATTTTATAGAAAGGAAGTAAGGTTTGCAAAATAGCACGAACCAACCGTTTTGGGAGCCCTAAAAGGCGCCCTCCCGAGGGGGTACGGTAGCTCAAATTCGGGTAGATGATAGATAAACCCCAGTCCTACATAACCAAGAAAATAAATAGCCGAATTCCATCCGCAACTTTAGAAATATTTTTCTGAAGTTCGTTGCCGTGACCCCAAAAAAATTCATGACCAGGGGGTCGTCGAAAAACTCAAAAATTCATAGATCTTAAAAAATTTTAAAATATTTTTATGCGATTGTGTCGAGCCCTTAGATCTTTTAAAACCACTTATCTTGACATTTCCACCACAGGTTTTTGTAATACACGAAATTCACGATATTTCTACATACAAAATTTCAGTGGTGCATAACTTTTGAACCAGACCCTCAAAAAATCTAAATTTTTTTTAGGTGCATATCTGTTGCTTAGATTATTCTACATTGTAAAAAATGAGAAGCCAGCCACCACAGGAAACTGAGAAAAATGCAATTGAAGTTTCCCCGAACGCACAGTTTTCGGGTGTCATTAGTATGGGTACGTCGCCGAAAATCGAAAAAATCAAGTTGAGTTATTTCCCTATTCCTGACATATTTAAGCATTCTGGCATGGTAAGGCACGGTGAAATATCTTTCCTTCTCGAGATAATTGGGGACAAACTTGGGTACTTTTTTTTGATACACCCTGTACTTAAACTAACTATGATAATTTGGCTGTGATGTCTGCCTGTCTGAAGCGATCTTGTCGAAGGGGAAGGGAGCTAGAGCTTAGGTTTCAATTGATCCAAATCACAAATAAGCATTGACATTAAGGTGGTTCAAGATCAATTTTAGTAATTTGGGGGTAATGCGGCTTTTTCGACGATTTTGGGCACATAGTTGTAATTTTGGACATCGAAAAGTTATGAAGGGCAGAAAGGGAAACTGCTTTTGCAAGGCATCTGAGGCTTATCATTAGAATCGGGCCATTGTCTTGCGGGGGAAAGTAGCGCTGCCCGCTGCGGGGCAATTGATCGCTTGAATAAGCGTTTCATGAAAATCTATGGCAAGGGCCTGAAAATAGGTCTTTTCCTGAACTTGATTTTAAAACACGTTACCTGCAAGCAGGCCCGTAGAGGGCCCAGGGGCCCTGCCCCCCGAAATCGGTCGAGGTCCAAAAAATTCATGAGGGGGACCCTTATGATTTTTAGTTACAAAAATTTAAAAAAAACACACACACACACACACACACACACACACACACACACACACACACACACACACACACACACACACACACACACACACACACACACACACACACACACACACACACACACACACACACACACACACACACACACACACACACACACACACACACACACACACACACACACACACACACACACACACACACACACACACACACACACACACACACACACACACACACACACACACACACACACACACACACACACACACACACACACACACACACACACACACACACACACACACACACACACACACACACACACACACACACACACACACACACACACACACACACACACACACACACACACACACACACACACACACACACACACACACACACACACACACACACACACACACACACACACACACACACACACACACACACACACACACACACACACACACACACACACACACACACACACACACACACACACACACACACACACACACACACACACACACACACACACACACACACACACACACACACACACACACACACACACACACACACACACACACACACACACACACACACACACACACACACACACACACACACACACACACACACACACACACACACACACACACACACACACACACACACACACACACACACACACACACACACACACACACACACACACACACACACACACACACACACACACACACACACACACACACACACACACACACACACACACACACACACACACACACACACACACACACACACACACACACACACACACACACACACACACACACACACACACACACACACACACACACACACACACACACACACACACACACACACACACACAAAGATACGCGACCAAATTATATAAGGTAGGATAAGAATCTATCTACTATACAGGGTGTCCCAATAAAAAAGGTCACGCTGGCATTTTCTCATTTCAAATCCGATCCACCTGAAATTTGGAACAGAGCTGCGGAAGGGAATTTAAAATTTTCACAGAAACTTTCAGCCCGATCGGTACAGTAGTTTTCGAGTTATAGCAAAAATAAACTTTATTTTACGTTTTTCACCTGGATTTCGCCGGAATTTAGCCTTGGAATGTATGGCAAAAAGGAAGCGCCGACCCTTTTTTACCCCAGAAAATTTTTTATTTCGAAAAAATCTTCTTGGAAATAGGTTGTTTAAGTAATTTTAACAAGGTGTTATCATCCCAGATGTTAAGAAGAATGAGGGATTTAGGGCCGAAATTGATGTTAATTCATGCAAAGTCCAAAAAGATAGCCGAAACATGGACACATAAATGTTGCCAAAAACAGTATTTTTGCGATAACTCGAAAACTTCTGTATCGATCGGGCTGAAAGTTTCTGTGAACATTTTAAATTCCCTTTCGCAGCTCTGTTCCAAGTTTCAGAACGAACAGATTTGAAATGGCGAAATTCCAGCGTGACCTTTTTTATTGGGACCCCCTGTATATCAATTTCCAATGTCCGTACGCCCGCCGATCGACCGACCGGGAATTCATCCAAATCTTGCATTCAAAATAAAAATTCAAAATTTGGGGGTGGGGGAGGTGGTGAGGGCCAGCGCTGACCCCCGCGTAGCGGGGGGTCAACGCTGGTAAATCTTAGAAAAAGAAACCCGTTTGTTTTCTCGAATTTTCGAGAGCTTCGGGTGGTGTCACTATCATCCCGACGGACACTTAAGGACCACTAGAGGGGATGCCTTCTTTTTGCCAAAAAAAATCCAATATCTCGCGATATTTGATTAGGTGCGGTAAACCGGGGTGCATAAATTTTTTAGGAAATCTTTTAGGGTAGAAGGCAAAGGATGAAATCGCTCAAGGAACCCTCAGTACCGATTCTATTCAATCGGATGTAATTTTTGCACCAATCGTATGAGGGGGTACCTCAAACCACCCCTTTTAGTTTGAGGTACCCCCCATACGACTCTTTTGGGGACCTTTTTCCGGATTTAAAAGAGAACCGAGCATCGGATCGCAAACCACCGTAGCCCGCAAGAAAACACACGATAGGTAATCATCTCTTTTGCAATAGCAGAACGTTTTAAAGGGCATGTTCAGCCGCGTTTTTGACAAAAAAGCAAGAATTGTCGCCGCGGCTGGGGGTCGCACCCCCCCTTCAGGAGGCGCAGAGGCATACCAGTCATCCACAAACGCAACCTGGCCATGGCCGCCGGAGCCAGGAAATAAGGGAATTGTGCGAGCGGCGTGCGCGGTCCTTACGTCAATAGGGTGTATAAGTTGGGGCGAGACTCTAAAGGGACATTCCGCTCTTGTTGATATTTTCAACATCTTGAAATGGTCAACACTTTAGCATGCGAGGTTACGGGAGGTGCTAAACGTGGGGCAAAATCGAACCCGGACCACTCTCCCTGGGAAAGCGCCATAGACCACACGGCCATGGGAGACATGCGAGCGGGAATATGAAGGGTCTGTGAGGACCACCGCGCGGCCGCGAATTCCCGACGCCAACTAGGGGTTAAGAATGAGAGCGGAATGTACCTTTAAGGGGCGCTTTAGCTGAGTGGTATTCGAAGTTTATGAAGTCGGCATCTATCATAATGCAAAAAAAGCAGAAAGGGTATAGAATATTGGGGTCTACGAGAATACATACCTTCCATCCCTGGTCTCACGATAAACAACACCGAAACCGCCAGAACCAATTTCGCAACTATCAACCGTTGTGCGCACATTGGTTGTGGATGAAAGCGAGACAGCAGGGAGAATGTTATCAAGCAGATCGTCAGATCCTTCAGGTGCTGACATTTGTCTAAAAAGCAAGTAAAAAACGTCATAAATCAGAAAACTTGATTATGAAAAATCGACAATTGATCGATTAATCGTTGGGGTTGGTATGGTTCGAAAACCAGAGGGGCAGAAGCGGGAATGGCTGTCGCAAAACGAGGCCTCTTCGCTGCCTTATCTTCTGCCTTGGCCATTTACTTGCGGGAAAAATTAGCCTGCTGCTGCCGCCTAGTAACCTCTTAAAATTCAGAATCGCCGTCGATCAGAACCAAAATAATTTCAGTTGGGTTTCAGTTACATTTCAGTGCCGCCAGAAAGCAATAAAGAAATCTTAAGAATACCACCAATACCCCGTAGGAGAGGGGAAACCTCTTGGGGCTTCCCCCCCCCCTTCCCCCTAAAATCGGCGGAATGCCGAAAAGTTCATAAGGGGGGAGGGGACTTATGATTTTTTTCGTGAAATTTTTTTGCCTGCGGCGCCTTTTATAGCTGTTTTTAAGACTGTTTTTACCGTCATTGACCTAATTTTTTCAAAAATTTTTGCCTGCGGCACACTGATTTTGAGATTTTTATATCCCGGCAAAAATTTTTTTTGGGGGTTGGCCCCCCAAACTTGGGGATCGCTACGGCCCTGGCTACCTCCATTCGAACCCGTACCCTTTTTTAGCTATTTTTACACTGACAGCAGTCGACGGATACCGTGAAGAAAAGTATAGCTTTACTAATTTTGATTTAGACGTTTGTTAAGATTTATGAAAGATTTTTGGAAAGTTCTTCTCGATGCCATGAGCAAGATGGAAAAATACCCAAATATTTCTGTTTACTGAACTCCAGGTTTTATTGATTTTAGCAAGTTTCGCCGCATTTTTGTGATTCGTTCACAAAAAACTGGGGGCAACCTAGCAAACGCTGTTTGGGGGAAATTTTCAACCCGATTCGGTTAAGCCCCCATTCAGGCTAGCACAACACCTTTAGAAAATAATCGAATCGAACCAGTTAAACCAGCAGACTCTAAACTCTATATACTAAAAACAGGTAACTACAAAATAACTACAGACTATAAAATAAAAAATCGCTGAAAAACATTTCATACTTACCCATGATCTAAACTAATGTCAGCTCTAGTAAAGAGACCAATAATTGACAAAATTGTTCATAAATTGGCAAACGGCCAAAATCTAATTACTTAAAATACAATTCCTAATTTCCGGTTACTCAGTACGCTCCGCACGCGTGAAAATCCTGCGAATCTTAACTTGTTCCTGGTGCTAATCAGCAAATTGAACGGTTTTTCTAACTTAAATTGTAATATTTTCTCTTCCAGGCAGGACACATCTAATCGAGGCGTTGGGTAAATATTCTCATTCAACCGAAACAGGGCAATTCGAAAACCCGATAGAAATGGCTAGAAACTCACCAAATCCCGCCCAACCAGCAATACATTTTCAGGCAATGAAGATCAAGCTATGTTTATTGATCGTTAATTTTAGTTGGGAAATTTCAATGGTGAACTGAAAGGGTACACATAGGGTAACGGGGGGGGGGGAATAACGGGGGGGGGGGCACTCATTATTATGAAAATTGCGATTACTGTGGGATTTTGCAAGTGCCATTCGATAGAGCGTCGAAAAATATACTAAGAGAATTAATTTCAGACCGAAATAATGTAAAGGGAATTTTTTATTGAATAAAGAAAAATTGATCACAATCTATGGGCAGCACATAGGATAACGGGGGGGGGAAGTCAAATTTTCGAAATTTCGGAAATTTCCGGTATTTTGAAAACGTCATTGGATAAAGCGTCGAAAACTGCCCTAGGAGAATTAATTTCAGCCCGAAATAATGTAAAGGGAATTTTTTTATCGAATAAACAAAAATTGAGGGAAAAACTATGGGCAGCACAAAGGATAACGGGGGGTGGGAAGTCAAATTTTGAGATTTTCGCTGCTTTCAAAGTGTAAATTGATTGAACGTCGAAAAATATACTAAGAGAATTCATTCCAGCCCAAAAAAAAAGTTAATAAAATTTTTATCAAATTTATATTATTGACCCAGCGCCCAAAACCCGCTTCGCGGGCCTTGGGCGCTGGAATTGGGCCTTTGCATGAAAAATTTGACTCTCCGATCGCTCGGGTCCTTCGGACCCCTTCCAGGACCATACACGCGCGTGTAAATGGCAAGAATGAGGAGATTTGTATTTTTTCATATTATGCAAATTACCCCCAAAAATGAATAAAACCGGGTTTAACTTTGTAAAGTTGTATTTTATCGGGATTCTGAAAACGCCATCGGAAAGAGGGGAGGTCGATTCCCCAGGGTGACGAAGAATTAGCGCATTTTATCCAGGGGAAGGTCCTTAAATCGGGCATCGAAAGTGACATCCACACACACACAGAGATACACCCCAAAATTATATAAGTTAGGGATTTCTGGTGAGTATTGAACCCCCAGATCAAATTTGCATTAAACTTGTAGAATAACCCGTCATTCTTTGGCAAGGAAGAGGTAATGGTTCACTTTCTACCGTTTTGTATCAACCATGGTATGTTCTGATTATATGGTTTTATAAGTGTTTACCAGAATCTGACCGACATCGCACGCATGTCCGAGCGTGAAGCCATTGAGAGTTTCTGGTGGTGGAAGGTGTTCTGCAAAATCCTCATTGTCGCGATCACAGCCACGCCAAGATGCGGCTGATAAAGAAACAAAAGGATCGGTACCGTTGGGAATGTGCGCCGTGCATCTATTCGAAGCGCGGTGGTGGCATGCACGCGGTGAGGGGATGCGAATTGGCTCCAAGGTGCAATCAAAACTGTCTATTCTAGAAACTGAATTTAGACTCGCGCCTCCCCATCAAATCCGTGCTGCTCTTGGTCTATCTCTGGAGTACCGGTCTCTCGTCCGTGCAACAATTGTCCAAGGAGATGGGCGACGTTGCCGCCACCACCGTGATAGATTGGTGCCGCTATTTGCGAGATGTTTGCGGCTGGGCTACCAGTGAACGTTTGAAGGAAAGCCGCATCGGCGGCCCCGGAACCATTTGTGAACTAGACGAAACCGTGATGTCGCGCAGGAAATATCATCGGTAGACCAAATCTCATTCAGTCGCAAAGGATAACCGGTTTCCAGGGGTCGTATCGTAAAAGCTCGTTGGCTTTTTGGAGGCATCTGCCGCGAAACGAAGGAGATGTTTGCTGTACTTGTCCCAGATCGTCGCGCCGAGACCCTGATGGGGCAGCATCACCGCCCACATTGCGCCTGGCACCACGATCATTACGGACGGTTTGCCTCTTACAAGGGTCTGGCCGACCACCCTGACTATAACTGGCAATGGGTGAACCACAAAGAGAATTTCGTGAAACCTGGCCATCCCCAAGTGCACAGCAGACAGTTGAGCGGTAGGGATCGAAGATATAGACTATCGCTCGATTTACAATGTGGCGTCCCAAGAAGGACGCTGTGCGATCTCGTCACGGCACGGATGAGGGGACAGGTGGAATCTTATGTGGCGGAAGGGATCTGGCGACAACTACACGGCAACGATGATGCATTTAAAAGACCATTCTCGCGGATATTGCTTTTTTGGCCGCCCGGAACCGATATTGATAGTGTTCCATTCTATGCCGAAGAATAAAGAATTTTGCCTTACGAAACTTTGCAGAAACACCCTGACACTTTTGCGTTATCAATTGACACTTTGAAAGAGTATCGAAAATCTCAGAAATTTGACTTTCCCGACCCGTTATCCTATGTGCTGCCCATAGTTTTTCCCTCAATTGGTTTATTCGATAAAAATTTCCTTTACATTATTTCGGGCTGAAAATAATTTTCCTAGGGCAGTTTTCGACACTTTATCCAATGACGTTTCAAAATACCCCCCATTTACGAAATTTCGAAAATTTGACTTTCCCCCCAATTATCCTATGTGCTGCCCATAGATTTTGATCAATTTTTCTTTATTCAATAAAAAATTCCCTTTACATTATTTCAGGCTGAAATTAATTCTCTTAGTATATTTTTCGACGCTCTATCGAATGGCGTTTTCAAATCCGATGATTTGCCTTTCAAAATCTATGTTTTATTGCTCCCCCGTTATTTCCCCCCGTTACCCTATGTGTACCACTGAATCGATCTGAAGAGGAGAATATCATCTAAGAAAAGTCATCCCGCTGACCCATATTTTTTGTCACCCCAATTTAAGTACGTTTTATATGATATAAAAAATTAGAAATATTATAAATGATTAAAAATAAATAGATAATTATAAATTATATTTCAAAATTCATTATCTTCACTTACCGTAGGTTTTTCTGCGACATTTTTTAATTTTAAAATTTAAAATTTTATTTTTCATTTTCTTTTTATTGTAGATTACTGTAACAAAAGGCGTCATTTCCACCAAAAAATTCTTCCCAGCGAGACTTCCGCAACGCAGCATAAAAATCAGGTACCCCAATTAACGGTCGATTGTGATTGTTTTCCCTGGGTTATTAATTTGTTGATTTGGGGATATGTTGGCGCTAATATGGCGATTTATCTGATTCAATTTTTACTTAATAGCCAAAATCGATTTGTAAAAAAATTAGAAACATGTGAATTTGGCAAGCATATATTTAAATTCAAAAATTTCTTATTCGGGGTGTCAATTCCCTTCAAATCGGAAAAACCTTTCAAATAGTTTGGAACAATTAATATCATCAACTGTAGGTCGATAGTTTGCCTCAAACATTGAATTCGGCATCCAGTATCTGATAATAATAACCGCAAATATCATCTCATATTTCATCACATTTTATATGTCGATTCATTAATCCTCCCCGATGTCACTTTCATTTGTCTCATCTTTTGCAATGATTCCCAACTGAAACTTCGATTTCTTTTTGCAGTCTCCCAATTCTTTTAATATTAAAAAAATATAATATCAAATCCGTTGTTTTGAGCGCATGGGGATTACATGTTGTAATACCCTCTATAACTTCTAATTCTCCATCTCGATGAGTCCAAGACCAATTGAAAATAAAAGAAGCTGAGGAGGAGGTCAAAATGGGGCGAGGTCCCTACTAATTACGCCAAAATCGGACATTTGGGCATTATTAGGAATCAACCAGGAGCAGATTGGCTTCAAGTGCACATTAAAAGTAATACGTGTGGTGAGGGTAAAGGCACACTTGACGCTTATTTCCCTCTCTTCCGCTCATCAGATCAGGGGCTATCCGCTGTGGCTGAAATCCTGCCGTACTTTGTAGCGTCGCGGAAGTTTGTGCCGTAACCGGATTCTGGCTTGAGTGGGGATCGATAGATGGAAGCTGGCTGGCGGGCAGGATGGATGAATTGACGCGCTTTATCTGAAAATAATTTAACTTAAATTAATCGTTTTAAATCGAATAAATTGCCTAAAGTCAAGCACATGGGAATACAAAAAAAATTGTATGGTAACTTTACTATTTAATCAAATATCAAATAAATAATAGATTCAAATAGATTCGTCTAAAATCAAATTGCTAAAATACCTACCCATATTATTGTGGTAAAATGGTGGATATGGAGTTGTGGAGATGTAATTGTGACTGATTAGGCCCTGAAAACATCGGAAAAATCAGAATATCGTTAGGTAACTCATGCCGACCATATATCGATTTTCCCTGCAACACTGTCTTTGCGTAGGTATTCATGATCTCACAGGAAGTCTTCGAAATGAATATTAAGCAGTTACGCGAGATATTTTAAAGAAATTTTAATTTTAAAAATCATGCTTGCAGGTGTTCTTTGGCAAAAGTAAAGATTCTTTATAGCTTTTATGGTTTTTCGGTAATTTTAATTATTTTAAGATTTTACAGTAGCTGTAGCTCCACCTGCTCGTAGTAATAAAAATATAAATATAAATCGATAAAGGTGTTTGCATAATTAGGCGCTGTTTTATAGAGTGAGGCGTGATTTTTGTGAATCCCTGGAAATGCGCCCAGGGGGGTATGGGGATGCTGATTTTTGCGCAGTAGATTTCGAAAAGCTCGAAAAATGCCGAAAATCATTTTGCTTATCAGACTTTCCAAAGATTTTTAAATGTGTGGTAATGTCTGTAAAATGAGATTTAATTTTTAGCGGTAGCAATTTATTCAAAAAATTCTTGTTCCGGATTAACCCTGGAAAAGGAAAGGAGTTTCTTCAGCACATTTCTTGAAATTCACGACAATAAGACATATCTGGTAGTGGACCCTTGAGACAATCCAAACCAATTGATATCATCGAATGTCGATTGATAGTTTGCCTGTAAAATCAAATGCGGCATTCGGTATCTGGTGTTCGAGCATATATCTCGCATCCAATTCACCAGCCGTCCATACCAGCAGCTTTCCCCCTCTGCCTCCGGTTCCACTGTCCGTTTATATGTCCATTCATTCATCTTCTCCCAGTATATCTTTCATTGCCTCGTCTTTTGCCATGATTCCCCAACTAAAATATCGCTTTTTCTTACAGCCTCTGAATACTTTTTATACTTTTAATATTTGATTGGCAATTACTCGGTATCTTCCAACATGACCCAACATTTATTTGGACTGACTGACCTGCATTTTGCTCGTATTTCCCGATATTGTAGGAAGGGACCATGGGAAATGTTGAAGGATTTGTGCAATTCCCCTGGTATAGTGGAAGACAGATGATGGCCCTGCCGAGTCGATTCATAACGCAAGAAGGGGGATGTGTCGGGCTGAAATTGAGGGCTTAATAATATCCATAAGAAATAAGTCATTACCTTGTTGCAATGGAAGATACAGAGAGATCGTCTAATACTAAATTAGAATATGCTATAAAATCTATACAAAAGTTATTATTTATCGAGGATTTAAAAAGGCCGTCCACCCGAAGAGACAGAACAGACCCTAATATGGCTTGGCACGGTTTTTTTCGGCCCCGATTTTTTGACGGCATCTGAAAAAGCATGGTCAGAATTGATAGGGCTGCAGGTTTTGAAAGTTTAAAAGTGTCGAAAAGGAATGGCAATCCGCACTATTAGGAACCAGTGGAAAAAGACCGCGGGGGGCCGATTTCCACTGGACCCGTCTGGGAATCATGGGATCCCTTTCCTTTCATTCAAGACTGTGGCGCAAGAGCCTGACTCAAGGAAACATTCATTGGCCTGCGGCGAGCGGGCGAGCTTTGCGCTAGAATCTTTGAGCCTCCGGCGCTAGTGACTGTTTTCCCCCCAGGATTTGGCCTGCGGCGCGAGGGCCTGGACCAAGGGCATTTTCTTCGCCTGCGGTGCCAGTTACTGAGTTTCTCCGGGATTTGGCCTGCGGCATAGAGCCTGGGTCAAGGGCCCATCGTTGGCCTGCGGGCGCAGAGCCTGGGCCAAGTACCGGGGGCGCACACAGCCTGCGGCGCTGGAGGCGAGGCCGGGCCTAAAGCTCACATACCAAGAGCCTTGAAATATGTTTTGTTGTTGAACTGCGCAAAAAGCAAAAGTTAACTTCGGCGGCGTGGATTCGAGCCCGGGCCACGTGCTTCGTAGACCAGGGCCAATCCACTGCACCACGGCGAGATGGGATAGGAAGCGAGAAAGGCCTCTGTCTTCTGTCCTGAGGCGGCCTCATACCGGGAGGAGGACTTCTGGTAACTTTACAAAATTCTCTTTTGAGTCTAAATGCGGCGGGGAGGAAGTAAAAATAATAAGGTGCGCGTGATCTCCACTATCGAATACATAAGTGTTCCAAATTACAGCCCAAAATTCCATCCGAGCCTCGCGTTATGGCCCGGACACCACGGTTCATGGCCCATTTTGTTAAAGGACTTTTTTAGAAAAGAAATACTCATAAAAACTTTATTTTACAAAATCCCACAATAAAACCCAAAATTATATATCAGGAGAATTCGATTTTCAATCCACTCTCCAAAAAATTAGCGCCCAATTCGGTCTGGCAATCGAGATATCCTCTGAACAAACCTTTTTCGGGCCACAGATGTTAAGGATTTTTCACTATTTTGCTTGTAAAACCATTAGATATAGGGAATTTCGGGAAAAACAAAAAATGCCTCACTGACAAATGTGTTTCTCCACCTCCCATGCCAAAAATCAGCTCGAAATTCGGCCTTGCGGCCGAGAAATCGGCTGTACAGAAACCAGACATAGCTTTTCTCGCTTATAGGATAGGAATAAATATCCCAATAATGCCCACGCGAGAAGGATTTGCCACCTATTCCTCCTACGACCCATCACACTTCCCTATACACGGGTAGTCCGGGTCAGTGGAGGTCTGTAAGACTAATGTATGCCAAGAAGATTGACCCTGCAGACCATGAATAAGATCCAATGCGATTACCACTAATAGAGACGTGTGGATAAGAATGGTTTATTAGTATATGGAAGAGAAAGAGCAACCGAGAAGAATACACAAGGGGCCAATAGAACCACTGGAAGTAAGACGAGGAAAGGGCGGAAAGAGCTCTGGGTGTAATACAAGTAGGGAATCCACGGGGAGGGAAATCACCCGATAACGGGGCTCTGTGGGTAGACTAACCACCACACAGATCCTATTCAATCCCGACCGGCCATGGAAGTGACCGGCGGCAGCGACTCCCTGGGAAGGGGAAGAGAGTGGCCCATAAATGCGGGACAGAGCTAGGCCGCCCGAGTTC